GTCGGCCCGAACGACAGCCGGGTGGGGGGCCGCTCCGAGTGCCCGTCCCAAGCGGGATGGGGGCGGAGCGGCCCGGGTGGCCCAGATGGCCCGCGTCGGGTTTCGGACGGTTGGGAGCTGCGCTGGGCATCAAGTAACAGCCGCCCAGCTGGCCGTGCTGCGGGCCGCGGAGGGGGCTGGGGAGGTGGGGACAGACGCTTCCTTTGGGATGGAACTGGGGCTTGACGGACCAAGAGGCGCTGGGGGTGCTGTGGACGCCCCTTCCCAGGTTTGCCTGCGCCTCCTCCCTCTACCCCCACCTGGGAGTGCTCTGTGGGCTTTGGGGGGCTGATCCCTCAAATGCCCGGGATGCTCCACCCCAACCCCCAGCCCTGAGCAGGACCTACTTCCCGATTCCTGCCCCGCAACCCTGCCTCCCGCCCGGTGGGTGGCGGGTGCTGACTTGCCCAGCTCTGCGTGCCGCAGCCTGCAGACTGCCACCAGGCCGCTCCTGGGAGCCGGAGCTTGTGTGCCAGCGCCCGGTGCCCTGTGCTCCCCGGAGGCCTCCCGGGCCCTCTGTTCTGGGATTGGCCTGGCCAGACGGGGAGGGGTGGCAAGCGCTGCCCCTCCGACTTCTGCCTTCTCTTCCTCCACAGCCGTGTGGCCGGGTCACGGGCTCACCCCCAATGCCTGGCCCCCTCCTGCCGCCCCCCAAACCCGGCCCTGGGGCCCACCACCGGCTCAGGGCCTCCGACGCCGTGGAAGAGGACTCGGTCTGCTGTGTGGAGGAAGAAGAGGAGGAAGGTGTGGTGGCAGGGGACAGCCGTGTGGCCTGGGAGGGCCCTCGGGAGCCCACCTTGGACTGGGACTCGGGCTTCTCCGAGGTGTCAGGCAGCACCTGGCGAGAGGAAGAGCCGCCTGCCCTCCTGTGCACCCTGCACCCCCAGCGTGGCGCCCCCACAGGCAGTGCCTCTCCGCCAGCGGCCTCCCCCTGCCCAGCGGGGCCCCCATAGCCAGGGCGCCACCTGCCCACCGGCCACGGCCCAAGTCCACGCCAGATGCCTGCCTGGAGCACTGGCAGGGCCTGGAGGCTGAGGACTGGACAGCGGCCCTGCTGAGCAGAGGCCGGAGCCGCCAGCCCCTGGTGCTGGGGGACAACTGCTTCGCTGACCTCGTGCACAACTGGATGGAGCTGCCTGAGGCGGCAGGCGAGGGGGACCGCGCGGGGGCACCCCGTGCCCGCGCTCGGCCCCCCCAGTTCTTGCTGGGCCTCTCAGAGCAGCTGCGGCGCCAGCTGGCCAGGGCCCGCCGGGCAGCCATGGCGGGAAAGCGCCTGTCGTGCCCCTCTCGAGCCGAGCCCGAGCTGCCCACGGACACCTCCCGCTTCGCCGCCCTCATGAGCTGCCGCAGCCGCCAGCCCATCATCTGTACCGACGTCATCAGCTACCTCTGACCCCGCCCCCAGCCCCCCGGACAATAAAGACCTTGCTCTGGACTGTCCTTGATTCCACAGCGAGTGTCTGGGAGGAGGCCCCAGCCCTCCAGGCACAGCCGGGGCAGGCGAGTCTAAAGAGCCTCCCCCTCCAGGGGTCCCTGTGCACCCTGGTCACACCCATGCCCAGGCTCCGTCACCAGCCTCTGCGTTTGCAACTTCCTTCAGCAGCGTTTATTGAGCACCTACTATGGGCCCCGCGCAGGGCCCGATGGGGTGGAGCGGCCACTGCCGGGTCCCAGCTCGTAGTGTAGGGGCGGGAAAGCGGTGCTGTCCTCCTCGCCCTCACAGCCGAGCTCCAGGGCCAGCACCCACTGCCCAGGCTCGGGCACCCGCCGGCCTGTCACCTGCTGTGCCAGCTCTGTCACCCTGGGAGGGGGGGAGATTGGGTCGTTGAGCAGTGGCTGCAGAGAGTGACCGTGGACTGGGGCCAGAAGGAGCCCAGCCAGGAGCAGCAGCAACTCAAGACAGGAAACATCTGCAACTATTTTCGGAGCGGCTGGCGGGGCAGCGGGAGGCAGGAAACGCCTGTCCCTGGGGAGTGGGCTCTGAAGGGGGCGCTGAGCAGGGCGAGGAGCCGGTGCGGCCGCCAAGCAGGCAGCTCCTGGAGGCCCCTCTGCGGGCTCTGCCCCACCCCGCCCCCAGCCCGTTTGCTGACTCCATTTGGCAAAAGAAAGCGTCATGTAGGTGTGAGGGGCCCAGATGGGGCCGGGAGGAGAGGCCTGAGTCCCCCACCTCCAACCTCCAGGGACAGAGCGGAGCCAGGCGTGGGCTCACCTGAGGCCCAGGCGCTGGGCCTGCTTTTCAGGCGACCATCCCGCCGAGTAGAGCAGGGCCTTGCCCAGCAGCAGCATGTTCACCCGCAGCCCATGTTGCTCCTAGAGAGAGACGGGTCAGGTGCCGCTGGGCCGGGCGGCCGGGCGGGGGCAGGGAAGGGAAGGCACACCTGGAGATGGGCCAGGAGTGACTGGAGGGTCCTCTCGGGCTGCCCAGCGGGCACCTTCAGGCGGTCCCAGCAGGTCCAGGTCAGGTGGTGGAACTGGGGGGGGGAGCACAGGGCGGGAGTGAGGAGCTTCCCACAAACGCCCTCTCCCGCCCCAGCTCCCGCAGCCCATGGCCTTCCCTAGAGGAGCGCTGGCTGGAGGCAGGAAGCAAGGAAGCAGCAGCCAGGGGTGGGGGTGGGCGGTGGGCTCTGGGCCCAGAGGCTCAGCGCCACCCCAGCCCATGCTGGGGCCGGCACAGGAAACGGCCATGGGGCCCCCACACGGGGAAACAGCCTCCCTCACAGGCCGGCTGTGTAGGAGGGGGAGGGCGGTGCTTCCTGAGGAAGTGGGAGCCGGGCCTGGGCTGGAGTCTCCAATGAAGCCGCTTATTCCTCAAATGCAAGCCTGGGAGCTGGGAAAGGGGGTGTACAGCCTGTCCCCCCTCATCCTGCACTGCCAGGGCCTTGGGCTGCTCATGGGCACACAGGGACAAGGGGCATAGTGTCTCCGGGGACCCCACTGGCCTGGAGACCCTGCAGGGACAGTCCACAGAGGCCTCCTCTTCCTGCCCCTTCTTCCCCGTTTCAAGTCTCGGGGGTCCAGTGCCCAGAGCTGAGGGCAGAGGGTGGCAGGCAGCCAGGGACCGGGCATGAGATCCTGCCACTCCCCCCCCCAGGAAATATAGTGGGGTCAAGCGGAGACAAGACCAGAGGTGAGATGGGGGGATCCTCCCCCCTCCCCCTCCACCATGGACAAAGGCGGCCTGTGTGCTAACGGAGGCAGGGCCCCTCACAAAGCCGCTCTGTATGCTGTGCCCTGAGGGGCCCCGGGGACACTTAGCCAAAGCCCAGTGCTGGCCCATGACCTCTGCCTTCTCCCCTGGCGAGGACATTCTCTCCACCCCCTCTTCTGCGCCCCAAGGAAAAGCTAACTGCAGAGCTGGGCACACAGCCAGGGCCCCTCGCAGCCCTGCTCTCAAAGGAACATATGCACAGCAGCCAGGGACACCCACACGTGTGCTCACACGCACCCCGTGAGAGCCCACATCGAAGAAGAGCCTGCCCTCCCATCTGGCACACAGATGTGCAAGCACGCTCCCTCCATGCCCACACAACCCGGGCACAGCCTGTGCCACGGACACACACATCCCAGGGCTGCGGACCCCACCCCCGTGACGCCAGGAGCTCAGTGCCCTTTAACTCGGTGTGGACAGGGCAGGGCAGGGTCCCCACGCCATGCAGGCGGAGGTCGTATGCGGAGTCTGACAGTCCCCCGCCCCGTCCCTCCCCCTCAGGGGCACTCCTGGGAAGGAGGGAGCTGGGCCTGTCTGGCTCACTAATGAGTTAAAGCTGCAGCTCCCCCAGACCCAGGGCAGCGGAGTGCTGGGCGGTGGGGGTGGCTGATGGCTACTTCCTGTGTCTGACAGGTCCCAGTCTGGCTTCCCAGCAGCAGGAAGGGGGCTGAGGGCGTCTTAAGAATCCGGGTCTTGGTGCAGGCCAGAAGCCTGAGGGGGCCTTTGGGTAGGCGCAGGGAAAGCCCAGGCTTGGAGTGGGCGGGTGTCAGGGCTCACCGTCTGGACAGCGGGGGCGCGGGGCACATAGCGGCTGTAGGAGTTCTCGGCCAGGCGCAGGTAGCTGTGGCGGAAGGCACTGCGGGGCCGGGGGCCGCCCACCACCTTAAAGAGCTCCAGGCCCAGCAGGCCCGCCACAGCCGCTGTGGTGGTGGCAATGGCTGGGATGATCTGGCCCACGATCCGCTTGCTCTGCCAACAACAGGAGACTGGGTTTGGGATGGGTGCGAGCCCGGGGTTGGGCCTCTGCCTCCAGGCTGGGGGCCGGCAGGCAGGGTTACCTGGGCGCGGGTGGCCGCCGGGATCCCATAGTTCTGAGCCCGCAGGCTTGCTGCCGCCGTCACAAAGTCCACGTGGAAGTTGCTGTCATTGTCCTGGGAGGTTCAGGTCACAGAAGCGTGAACACTGCCATGCCCCTCACCGTGGCAACCGTGTGCAGCTGCGCCCATCCCCCCCCCCCAGTTCTGTCCATGATGCTCACCTCTCCCCTCAGCAGGGAGGGGAAGGGGAGCTGTCCCTGGTCCCGCTGAGAGGACTCGGGCCAAGGGGCCCCAGCGCCGCCTTCTCAGCCCCTGACCCTCCCCAGCCGCCTCCCAGCCTCACCCTCTCCCGCCTCAGGCTCCCACCTTCTCAAACCTCAGCGGCTCCAGGGGGGAGCCCTCGCTCCAGTCTTGCAGGGCTTCCTGCAGCCGCGCCTCCTGCTGGGGGTCTGTTGGGAGGGGGGACAGTCCTTGGCCTGTCTCCTGCCTCCTGCGCTCTGCCCGGAGCCGGGCCCCTTCTTGGTCCCTTTCGGGAAGACCTCTGACTGACGCTGCCATCTCCTCTCCACCCCGTGTGTCCGTGTGTCCGTGTGTGTGTGTGTGTGTCCGTGTGTGTGTATGCGTGCACGTGTGTCTACAAGCATGTGTGTCTGCATGCATGTGTGTGCCTGTATGCATGTGTGCACGCATGTGTGTCTGCATGCATGTGTGTGTGCGTGTCTGCATGCATGTGTGTGCTGTATGACCCTGTCCTAACCTAGGGCCATAGATAAGTGCTCCTCAGAGCTCAATGGTTTGTGCTTCTTTTGCTTAGAAACCTGCCAAGTGGCCTGGCCTATGTGGCTGAGTGGTTGAGCGCGACCTGTGAACTAGGAGGTCATGGTTCGATTCCCTATCAGGGCACGTGCAGGGGGCGTACAGGAGGCAGCCGATCAGCACTTGCTCATCATTGAGGTTTCTGTCTCTCTCTCCCTCTCCCTTCCTAAACAAAACAAAACCTGCCAAGGGAATGGGGTCAGGGTGGGGGTGGGGAAGGCGGCAGGGAGGGGCCTGTGGAGGGGCCTGAGGATGCACTGCGGGCGGTGGGTTGGCTGCAGGGCCCCAGGCCCCATCTTTCCTCTACACTGAGGGCAGCACCAAGCCTTTGGGCGGCAGCTCGGGGGAGGGCAGGGCCGGGACCTCACCCAGCTCAGGGGAAGCCAGGTCACTGGAAAGGATCGGCTCCAGGCACTGGGGGTCAGGTCGCGGCAGCAGCTCCAGCATTTCCCTGAGCGCAGACGGGTCCCGTGAGCCCGGCAGCCCGTGCATCTGAGCGTACAGATTGGCCGCCGCCAGCACGTAGAGGAGGTGCGTGTCCTGCAGTCAGAGCAAGAGCGAGCACGCGTGGGTGCGCGTGTGCGGTCCCGCCCACTGGTGGGTGTGTTTGAGTGCCTGCCTCTGCCTGCCCCGTGGGCACCCACGGGTGCCCAACACGCCCTGCCAGCACCTGCCCTGGAGGCAGAGGGGCCCACTCACTTGACTGGCATCGAACTGCAACGGCTGAGGACACTGCCTGGGACCTGACCAGAAAGGCGTTCCATCCTTAAGCACCTGAGGAGAGGGAGGCTGCTGGGCTCAGGCGGTCCCTCTGCGCCCGCAGCCTCCGGGCCCCCGGCACCCACTTTGTCAGGGGGGTGGCGCCTGAGCAGCCGCGCGATGCCGTAGCCGAAGCACAGCTGCCAGTGGCCGAGGGCCCACACCACGCAGTCCTGCCAGCTCCGTGACGATGTCTCAGGACACCCACCGGTCTGCCAGCGGGGCCCTGGGGAGAAGGGGGGCTTTTGAGGCGAACCTGAAAGCCCTGGAGCTGAGGCCCCTGGACTCCCCCCTCCCCGTGGCGGAGGCCTTACGGCTGGTGGGAGTTGATGGTCTCGGCAGACAAGCAGAAGAGCCACTGGAACTCCTCCCGGGCCCACTGCGGGGGGGGGGGACGGAAGCAGGAGGGTCAGGCAGAGAGCAGCCTGCAGGACTGAGCGCGGGGCGGGGTCTGGGGGGCGCTCCCCACCTGCACAGTGTGCCCTGCAGTGCTGGGGAAGTGCCTCACGGTGCAGACAGGGTAGGGGGCGTCCCCGGGGGCAGCAGCGGAGGCCGGAGCCCTGTAGCCCTCGGTCACGTGGGGCACAAACACGGAGGCGCTGCCCCGGGTGCCCTGCGTGCCCGCCTCCAGCAGCGGCTTCAGGTAGTGGGCGCAGCGAGCAGCCACATAGCGTCCTGGGGGAGCAGAGGGTCAGGGGCTGGCACGGCCTTGCAGGGGGGGGGGGGCGCGGGTGCTGAGTTCCCAGGTCAAGCACTCACGGGCCTGGAAACTGTCCAGGGCGGCCGCCACGCCGTCCACGCGGGGGAAGAAGCTGTCCCCGTAGAGGCGCTCTGTCGTGGGATCCAGAGCGTGGGTGAGCGGGGTCACCTGCAGGTCTGGGTTCAGGCGGCGAGTGGCCTCCGCAGCTGCCTCTGCCTTGGGCCTCTGAGAAGAAAGCAGAGGACGCTGGGGGGAGCGGGGGACACCATGGAGGACAGTTGGAGACAAGGGGTGCTGGGAGGGGCAGGTACTCACCCCAACGTCCTGGGCCCTGAAGAGGAATTGCCGGCTGAGGTTGGAGCGCTCCACGTGGTCCATGTCGGCCACGGTCACGCCCCCGCCGGCCCCAGCCCCCAGGCCCACGAGGGCGAAGCCTTTGAGCAGCTCACAGCCAATAGCACCAGCACCCACCTGCCGGCAGGAAGGGCATTAGCCAGAGGGCGGGCCCGCCACCCCCCCCACCCCCTCACACAGCTCACCAGGAGGTAGTGCTGGTGGCTCAGCTGCTCCTGAAAACCAGCCCCAAACACCGCGATCTGCCCGTCGTAGCGGCAGCCTCTCTAGGGGACACGGCCCAGGTCAGTGCTGGCCGCTGGCACTGTGCATGGCCCTCTCCCACGGGGCTGCCCAGGTCAGAACCTCGGGGCCCGAGTTTGATAGGGCGTGGACCCCATGGGGCTCTCACCGGCGCGCAGGCCTCAGGGCTGGGAAGGAGCTCCCCATCTTCCGGGAGGCAGTCGAGGGCATCAAAATACAGCCACTGGTCCAGGGGTTGGAACTTCCTGGAGAGAGCCTGGAGGCCGCACGTCAGGGCGCTGGCCACCGCCGAAGCCCTCGGATCCGGGCGGGGGCTGCACCCAGGCTGTGGGGCACCCGCTGGCACCCACAGTGACCTCTGCGTCCCTCCCAGCTCCCTCTGCCTGGGCCCGCACCCACCTTCAGCACCTCCTGGGCGGCCACTGCGCCCAGCATGGCTGCCATGGGGCTCAAGACACCGGCACTGCTCAGGGCGACGGTCCGCACCAGCGCTTCATCCAGCGGCTCCTCCCACGGCTCTCCCTCTCCCTGTGCCTCTGCTGCCCTCAGGGGTTCCAGGGCCTGGGCCAGGTGTACCACCTCCTCTGCATCGGCCTGAGGGGGAGCGCTCAGTGGGCACAGCAGCTGTGGCCTGAGCCCCACTCCCCACTCAGACCCTCAGGCAGCCACCACCCTGTTCCCCAGAAAAGGAAGCCAGAGCCCGAGTGGGAGGGCAGACAGGGTGCGGTGCCAGGCTGTGCAGCCTCAAGAGAGGACGCCCGGCGCCAATCCACGGCCCTGGAGCACCCAGCCCGATCAGAGGGAGCGGGACCCAGGCTCGCCTTTATTTATTTATGTATTTTTATATATTTTGCCCTGGCTGGTTTTGCTCGGTGGTTAGAATGTCGGCCTGTGAACTGAAGGGTCCTGGGTTCAATTCCGGTCAAGGGCACATGCCCAGGTTTCAGGCTCAATTCTTGGTAGGGGGCGTGCAGGAGGCAGCCAATCAATGATTCTCTAGCATCACTGATGTTTCTCTCTCTCTCCCCCTCTCCCTTCTTCTCTGAAATCAATAAAAATATATTTAGAAATATATATATATTTTAATTGATTTCAGAGAGGAAGAGAGAGATAGAAACATCAATGATAAGAATCATTGATTGGCTGCCTCCTATGCCCCACACTGGGAATCAAGCCCACAATCTGGGCATGCACCCTGATGGGGAATTGAACTGTGACCTCTTGGTTATAGGTCGACGCCCAACCACTGAGCCACACTCTCCTTTATCTGAGTGGGAAAATGCCTCTGAAATTCCAGCTTGGATCTGGAGACCAGATTCCAATGAGACGGAGGCTGGGGGAGGCGCACCGGGGCCACTGACCGGATCCCAGGGCCGGGGCGGGCGGGCTCTGAGCTGCCGGAACCTGTGCAGCGCACGGAAGGCCTGGTGCAGGCAGCGGGCGTGGCGAGCTTCCTGGGGACTCTGGGCCACCACGCGGGGCTGTAGCAGGGCTGCGTCCAGGGGCGCCTGCAGGGGCACGAGGCTCAAGGTCAGGCCCAGAACCCTGGGGGCCCCTGGAGCCTCCCAAGCTCCCCCACTTCAGATGTCCTCACTCACATGGCTCACAGTCGTGGGTCTCTTGACCTCAGTGACAGCTCCACCACGGACGTAACAGGAGAAAGTCGCTGTGTCCCCAATCTCCAAGGTCCCGTCCTCTGGGGATGGATATCCAGCCTGGTGAGTGTGACCCCTGAACCTGAGTCCCTCCCCACACCCCCATCCTATCTTGCATCCGTGCCCTTGACGTCGCCCCAGCCCGAGGAAGGCAGAGGGAGGACCTATCCCCAAGGACCAGGCTGTGTCCGTCCCCAAGGGGCGCATGGGCGCTCAGCCTGGACCTGGAGTGGGGTCGGCTTACCCTGCACGCGGATGGGCCGGGGGGCACAGCCGTTGAGCTCGCTCATGCCCTCGATCCCCGAGAAAGTCACCGAGCCCACCTGGCGGAAGTAGTGGGCCTCGGCCGCGTTTCTCAGAGTGAGAACGCCCGGGGAGCCCTGGGGAGAGGGCGCGGCTCAGAGGTGCCTGGACCTGCGTCCCGCGGGCCTGGCACCCCTCCGCCCACCCAGCGCCCACCACCCAGCGCCCACCTGGGAGATGTGCTGGATGGCAGCTGTCAGGGGCTCCTCCTCTGTTTGGTCCTGAACCGTGAAGTCCTCCCCAAAGTCACAGAACAACTGCCTGGGGTGGGGGGTGGCAGAGGTCACGGGGTCACTGGGGTGGCTCAATGGTTAGCCACCACGATGGTGGCGAAGGCCGGGGACACTAGGGGCCGGAATCAGGAAAGGATGCTGGGAGCGGCTTGGGCGGGAGTTTGAGGGCGTCACCGGGGCAGGTCTGGAGGCTGGGGTGGAGGACACAGAGGGGCCTGGAGAGCAGAATCAGAGGGGGCGGGAGACAGCCAGGCGGGCAGCCTCACTCACCCCACCAGGCCCCGGGTGTCGGCCACCAGAAAGCAGACTCCGAGCTTGCGGCACCAGCGGCCCACCGCCAGCTGCTCCTCCAGGTCAGAGGCCGTCAGCACCACCACCTGGCGGACCTCGGGGTCAGCGGGGGCTGAGGGCTGGGGCCCCGCCTGGCTGCCCGGGGGCGGGTGGGACGCACCTGGAAGTCCCGCAGCAGGTCCTCGGTGATGTCGCCTGTGTGGACGCAGACCTGCACAGCTCCGTTGAGCTTGGCCACTCGCTCTTGAGATGCCTCAGCCCTGCCCCTTGCCAAGTCCCGCTCCGAGAGGAAGAACTAGAGAGAAACCCAGTCCAGCCTGAGCCAGGAGACCCGCTCCGGCCCGACCCTGCACCGGCCCGACCCCCGCCCAACCCCCGCCCGGTCTGGGAGGCTTCCCGGACCTCACCTGGGCAGCCAGGTCCGCCCAGCAGGTGGGCTGCGGGTCGTGCAGAGTGAGGCTGCCCACGCCCATCAGGACCAGGTTCTTGGCCACCTCGGCGCCCAGGCCCTGCAGGCCGGACAGCAGGACCTTACCCTCCTGGAGCCTCTGCATGGCCGGCAAGCCCAGCACATACCTGCGGGCGGGAAGGAAGGGGCAGTGAACTGGAGCTCAGAGGTCAGAGGCCACCCCTCCCTCCCCACCTCGGGCCTCACAGCTGCCGGGAGTACAGCTCCTCATCCAGCAGCTTGGAGGCGTCGGGGACATCCATCCCGAGGCCGGGCCTGACGGCAGCCGCCCTGCCCACAGGTGCCAGGAGGGGCCGGTGCCCGGCTGGGGCCTGTGCAGCAGGTGCTGAGGCTCAGGCAGTGCCAGAACCTGCTGGGCACAGCTTTCCTCGGCTCCTCTGTCATTACAGGGAAAGCGAAAATGAAAGTGAAACTGGAGGCTGGCCTGTTCCTGGTCCTGCCCCGGTGGTGCTGGGCAGCCTAGCCAGACAGAGATAAGCCTAGGGGCCCTGGCACAGCCCTGGGCAACGGGCAAGGTGGGCGGAGCACCTGGTCTCGGAGCAGGAAGTGCAGCCGTGGGGGGGCCCATAGGGGCTGGATGCAGTGCGCTCCTAGGGTCCCTAGACGACCCAAACCTCCCAAACCTCCGGGAGCTCAGGGCCTGCCTGAATGGGCTCCTGCCCACAGAATGCTGATGGAATTCCTTGTCCTGGGGACTGGCTGGCCTGCTGGCTGTCCACCATCCAGGGACTCAGAGACCCGGAGGCCCGAGCCAGTCCCGGCCCAGAGGCCGTGGGCGCTTAGGAGGTTATGTGGTCTCAGCCTAGGGCCCAATCCCAGCCCTGGGTGGAGCCTGGCATCTCTGGGGTGTCTGCGAGGCCCCGAGCCAGCCCCTCTGAGAGGAAGAGTCCCTCCCGGCCCACGGCTGCCAGCCCAGAGCAGATGCAGGTGGCAGCCCTAGGCGGCCAGTCGGGGCGAGTCCCAGGACTCAGCGAGGGTGGCCAGTCTGTGAGTGCGAGGCATGGGGCAGGCATGATCACGTGTCCTTGTTTCTCCTTTAAACTTTTATTTTGAAATAATTATACACTCAAAGCAAGTTGCAAAAATAGTAGAGAAAGGTCCTGTGTAACTTCACCCACGGACGTGTCATTTGCCTTCTTGGGAACTCGGAACCGGCACTCTGCAGCAGCGGTCGCCAAGCGGTGGTCCGTGAGGTCCGAAAGGCTGGCGACCGCTGCTCGGGAGGGTGGGCCACAGCTCCCCACGAATCCCCACAATAGCTAAGCCTCGTGCTGTCATACATTCTTTTTTTAAATTGAGGTAAAATTCACATAACATGAAAATAACCATCCAAAGTGGTCAGGTCAGTAAGATTAAGTGCATTCACAGTGCTATGCAAGCACCACCCCTCAAAGCTTTCCGACAACCCCCTGGGAACACCCCCACCATCACTACCCCCCCAACCCCCTGACAAACACATAATCTTTCTGTCTCTAGAGATTTGCCTATTCTGGATATTTCATATAAAAGCAATCATACAACCCTGGCCGGTTTAGCTCAGTGGATAGAGCGTCGGCCCACAGACTGAAGGGTCTCAGGTTTGATTTTGGACAAGAGCATATGCCTTGGTTGCAGGCTCAATCCCTCTCCCATCGGTGTTTTTTTCACTGCGTCGCTCCCTTCCACTCTCCCTAAAAGTCAATGGGAAAATACCCTTGCGTGAGGATTACAACAACAACAAGGAATCATACAGCCCGGTCAGGGGGCTCCGTTGGTTGAAACGTCGTCCTGTACATCAAAATGTATGGGTTCGATTCCCGGTCAGGGCACGTACCTAAGCTGCAAGTTCGGTTCTGGGTCAAGGCATGTACACGAGGCAATGGATGGATGCTTCTCTCCCTCCCCTCCTCTTTCTCTAAAACCAATAAAAAACAAATCCTCGGGTAATGATTAAAAAAGGAATCATACAAAATGTGAACTTTTCTTCACTTAGCCTGTTTTTGAGGTTCATTCACATTGTAGCAGGTATCAGTGCTTCCTTCCTTTTCGTGGCTGAGTGATACTCCATTTGTGCGTATATCACAGTTTGTTTATCCAGTCACCTGTTGATGGACTTTTGAGTTGGTTCCACCTTTTGGATATTATGAATAGTGAATGCTGCTATAGTCATGCTTGAACATGTAATTAAGGCCTTGTTTTCAATTCTTTGGGGTACATACTTCGGAGTAAAATTGCTGGGTCACATGGTAATTCTGTTTATTTTTTGAGGGACCAACAAAATGTTTTCCACCAGCAGTGTACAAAATTCCTATTTGTCAACATTGTGACCAATATTGGTTTTTCTTTCTTTTTTTTTTTTTTAAATTATACTCATCCTGCCCTAGCCAGTTTGGCTCAGTGGATAGAGCGTCTGCCCGTGGACTTGAAGGGTCCCAGGTTCGATTCCAGTCAAGGGCACATGCCCGAGTTGCAGGCTTGATCCCCGGTGGGGGGCATGCAGAAGGCAGCCGATCGATGATTCTCATCATTGTTATTTCAATCTCTTTCTCCCTCTCCCTTCCTCTCTCTGAAATCAATAAAAATATATTTTAAAAAAATTACACCCATCCTAGTGGATGTAAAGTGGTAGGTGATTGCATGTTTTCATCCAATAAACATTAAAAAAAATAATTTATTAATTTGAGAGAGACAGAAACATTGTTTATTGTTCCACTTATTTATGCATTCATTGATTGATTCTTGTATGTGCCCTGACTGGGGATTAAGCCCACAACCTGGGCATGTGCCCTGACCGGGAATTGAACCAGGACCTCACGGTTCATAGGTCAATGCTCAACCCCTGAGCCACACCGGCCGGGCTGGAAAACTGTTGGGCATGACTTTCTAAAGCAGGACTCTTACCTAGACTCAGGCACCTCTCACAGGGCACAGACTAGCAGAAATGAATCACTGCAGCTTTGTCCACAGACGCCAGCCTGGGCACGGCCCAGACACTGCAGGCACCTGTCAGGCTGAAGAGCCAGGGCAGGGCCCCGCGCCCTCCTCTGTGGCCAGAAAGCCGTGAGGTCGCTAGCTGGCAGCGGAGAGAGTGGAGCACAGACTTCAGTGCACAAGGAACCCATATTTTGCAAAAACAGTTTGAAAAAGTCACAAGTGGACAGCTTCGGCCCTCAAGAAGCAAAATTTAGCAGTCCCGGGGGGTGGGAGAACTCAATTTCCAGAGTTACCCTAACATACTACTCAGAATATCCGGCCGCAACAAAACATTGCAAAGCACGTGAGTAAACAGGAGAGGGTGACCACTCACAGGAAGGAGACCTTCACAGAACGTCGCTGGCGAGTTTTGGAGCTGAGAAGTACAATGACAAACGGAAGATTCACTATCACTAGAGCCACAAAAGTCCACTGCTTTCTTACATATCAGCAGTGAGCAACTGCAATTGAAGATATTATCATTTATTAGTACCAAGAAAAAGGAGGGGGAAAGAGAAATATTTAAGTATAAATCTAACAAAATATGTACAAGATCTATGTGAGAAAAACATCAAAACTGATGAAAGAAATTTTAAAAGTTCTACATAAATGGAGATATATCCCAGGTACATGGATAGGTAGACACAATATTGTCCCGATGTCAGTTCTGCCCGGCCGGTGTGGCTCAGTTGGTTGAGTGTCGTCCCAGGCACCAAAAGGTTGCTGATTCAATTCCCGGTCAGGGCACATGCCCTGGTTGCAGGCTCCATCCCCAGCAGGGGGCGTGCAGGAGGCAGCCGATCGATGCTTCTCTCTCATCATTGATGTTTCTATCTCTCTCTCCCTCTCCCTTCCTCTCTGAAATCAATAAAATATATTTTAAAAAAAGTTTTCCAAAGTAGAAAAGTCTACTCCCAGACACAGGAAGAAAAGATTCTTGTTTATTTTCAACATAGAAATCTCGCCCCTCCTCTGCCCACCACCACCCTTCGTTGCCCCTCTGCTTGGCCAGGCCACGCCTAGCAGGACGCCAGGCAGGCAGAAGCTTGGGCAGGCGAAGCTGCCTGTGCAGCCTCGAGCACTTGGTCCATACAGTCAGCAAATGGCCCTGGTCTGGAGGCTCAGAGGGAGCCCAGCAGCTGGTCGTAGCCATACATGGGGGCCTGCAACACGGAGCAAGCCCGCTGGCAGGAACGGTGAGCTGACCACAGCTCCCCCGACCCCGCTAGGCCCAGTATGGGGGGTGGGGCCGGCTGCGCGCTGGGAAAGCGCATCCTCTGGGCCTCACCCAGCCCCAGCTTCTTGTCCGCCATTGAGGCTGGTCCTGGGAGAGGGCCATGCCCCCACCCCCCGGCTGAGCCAGTCCTCGGCTGTAAGTCGGAGGCGACAGACAATCTGGCCGTTGGTCGGCCTCACTGTTCTCGCTACCACAGGAAGGTGTCCAGCTTGGCCTGGGAGGGAGAGAGCGCTGTCCTGGCCCCCACCTTCTGCTTAGCCTTGGCCTTGGGCTTGGGCTTCACCGGCAGGGGGCGGATCATAGTTGTGTCGGTCTGAAGGAGATGTCAAGGCAAAGGCTGAAGGGGGCCTGGAACGCAGGCAGGAGAGGCTGAGACTTGGGGTGGGCCGCCCGCTATACTCAGCGAGGTCTGGCTCTGCACACCCAGGGCAGCAGCCCCTGGCAGGCTGGGGTTTGGGGTACAGGTGAGGGAGGGTGTGGGCTCCAGAGCTCAGCTCAGCCCAAGGCCACAGAACAAGGATACAGGCTGGATGAACTTGGTCCGGCCCCCAAGGCCATCGAAGCCTGTTCTGACCTGAAGTGAAAGGGAGAGATGAGCGGCAGGCTGTGGGCCGTGGGCTGGCCTTGCCCCCACGGAGGCACTCACTGCGTCTGTGCTGCGGCGGGGCTCCGCCCTGGCTCTCTTGGCTTGCTTCTGGCCCAGGACGGCGTTCCGGATGAAGAGCGGGAAGGCGCCGGCCAGCTCTTCGTCTGGTTCGCCCGCACAGCGCTGGCCGCCCAGCGAGAGCTGGGGCTCCTGCCGGAGACCCAGGGCCAGGCTTGAGCTGGGTGGCAGCACTTGAGTGGGATGGAGGACTAGGACACCCCCCCCCCACCTCCTGTGCCTCTCCGGGGAGCAGAGAGGACAATGGGCAGGTTTCGGGGGACCCCGCAGGGCCCCAGTCCTGGGCCAGGACTGATGGGTCTGGCAAGACCTGCCCTCCCAGAGTCCAGCTTCACTCTGTCCTGGCCGGGGACTGAGGGACTCAGCTGCTGGTGACTGAGCTTCTGGGAGCCTTACCTGCTTGGAGCCTTTGGGCAGCTTCCTGGGACCGTCCTGAGTGGGAGAGCTGAGACACGAAGGCAAGAGGCAGGTGAGCAGACACAGGACATGCCCCCTGCAGAGCCACCTTGTGGCACGGCGTGTCGTGCTGGGTGCTGGGCAAGGCACCTCAGTGATCCCCACGCCAAGGGCAGCCCTGTGACCAGCTGGACAGTCACAGCGGCCAGAGTGGTGGAGGCAGGGAAGGTTGGACCACGTGCCAACCTGGTGGCTTCCACGCAGGGATAAGCTAACCCCAATGCTCCCCAAGCCCCAGGCACCTCTCCATGTCCCAGGAGAGCCCAACCGACTCACACCCACAGGAGGGAAAGCCCTGACACAGGCAGACACACCAATGAGCTCAGGCCTCGCCCTGTCTGCCCAAGAGGGGCCACCACCCACGAGACCCTCAGTGAGTTCAACAGCCCCTAGAGCAGGGCAAGGCCACCTCCCTGGACAGGCCGGGCCAGGCCACCCCTTCCCAGCTCCTAAGCTGGATACCATGTTTCCATCCAACTCCTGGGGACCCTCCCAGATGAGGGGGCGATGGTGACCTATGGTTGAGAATAACAAAGAACAGCCCTGGGCCCCCCTCCCTGGGCAGCGCATACTTCCATGCCAGTCTCCATGATGAACTGCATGTGGCCTGCGTGGCCAGGGAAACAGCCTCCCGCTGCCAGTGCCACTGCATCCCTGGCGCAGGTCCCACCCACCCACTGCAGCTCTGCACAGCTTCCCACACCTGCTGCTACGGGCTGCCCCCTAGGTGGGGGTGGGGGCCTGGGCTCCATGGTTTCAGATGGCCCTGCCTCCAGCATGAGTCTGAGAGGTGCCCGAAGGAAGAGGAGGTGGCGAGCTCCTGCTCAGGACTCCGGGGGGCAGGCATGCCACACAGTGGGAGCACCCACACCATCAGCCCATCCTGTCCCCACGGGACCTCTGCATCCTCTCCAACACCCCCCCTGCCCCCTTGCTAAAGGGCGATGGTGACGATGAATTAGACAAGCAAGACAAAGGCTGTGCAGTCCGTGCTCAGGGAGGAAGGAGGTGCTGGAACCAACGCCAGTCCAGCCCAGGGGACCATCGCTGCTCCGCAGCCCCGCAGAGCTGCCAGGCGGGGCCTGCAGGGACCGTAGCCCTCCCCTCCCGGCGGTGGGCAGGGCCAGGGGCTGCCACTTACTGTGCCTTCTCTGGGCAGAGCTTCTTGGCATAGCCATGCTGAAGGCCGGGGGGCCGGGCCGGGGGGGTGTCCACGTCAAAGGTGGCATTGAGGTCAATGTCATCACTGAAGGCCGGCCGGCGCAGCTTCAGGCTCAGCATCTCGACAGGGGCCGGGCTAGGGCACAGACAGAGGTGGCCCAGGGTCACAGTGGCGCCCAGGACAGCGGCCCGAGGGCTCCGGAGATGGTTCCTCTCCAGGGGCCTGCAGCCCGCCCCGCTCCGCGCCACCTGCGAGGAAGCCCTCATCTCCACAGGAAAGCCCGCTCGGCGTAGTCCTCCAGTCCTGGACCAGTGACGGGCTGGGCGACAGGGAAGGAGCAAGCAAAACCCACACACAACCCAACTGTGCCAGGGCTACTGCCGTTTGAGCAAGCGGCCTCGTTTATCAGACTGCAGTGCAAGGAGCCGGAAACGTGGCCACGGATCGGCTGCCCCCTCGGTGCTGCTGTGGCAGACGGCACCTTAGGAACTGAGAATGACTCCCTCGGGGCTGGCACGTTCCTCGCTTGACTGAGACATTAGAGGGTGTTCAGACAGTAAGCTTAATGACAGGGCAATGCTCACATGTGACATTTAAAAAGCAATACAAACCCAGACAAATCAGACTTCACGAGAATTAAAAATTTTGTGCATCAAAACGTATTATTACAGAGTAAAAGGGCGATCCAGAGAATGAGAGAAAATATTTGCAGATCATATCTCTGGTAAGGGATTAAAGTCTATAGAGAACTAGAACTCAACAAGGAGAAAACAAACAACCTGATTCAAAAATGGGTAAAGGTCTTGAACAGATATTTCTCCTAAAAAGATTGACAAACGGCCAATAAGCCCATGAAAAGATGCTCAACATCACTCATCACTAGGGAACCAAATCAAAACTCCCAGGCGATGCCACCTCACACCCATTAGGATGCTGCTACCCAAACACAACGATACACACAAACCAGAAAACAAAATAACAGGTGTCGGTAAGGATGTGGGAAGACGAATGTGTGTGCACTGTCGGTGGGAATGTGAAATGTACAACCACCGTGGGAAAGAGAAAGGCAGTTCCACAAAAAGTTACAAATAGAATTCCACAGGACCCAGCCGTCCACGCTGGGAGCCTGTCCGAAGGAGCCGGCAGCAGGATCTCGGAGAGAAATGCGCACATCCCTGTTCACGGCAGTGGCGTTCACAACAGCCAGAAACGGAAGCAGCCCAGGTGCCCGCCCACCGAGGAACAGAAGAGCAAACGGTGGCAGTCACATACAATAGACTGTCACTCAGCTTAACAAAGGCACTTCTGCAACACGCTGCAACACGGCGGACCTTGAGGCCATGACGTTAACTGAACTAAGCCAGTCACAGACACACACGGTATGATCCCACTTATCTGAGGCATTTACCTAGAATAGTCTCAATCACAGAGACGGAAAGGTGGTAGCCTCCTGCCCCCAGGCCACAGACAGAACAAGGACTGCAGGGCAGTCTACCGCCTGGCAACAGTGACGACCTCTGCCACAAGCCCATATTTTCCAAATTCTCAACGACTGTTTTCACCTTTAGGATGGGGAGGTGTTCAATTAGAAAATTGCAGCCAGTGGGATTTTCCTAACCCACCCAGGCCTGGTGGGGCTCCCAGCTCCTGTGGTCGGAGGAGGATTCTGGGGAGTGGCAGGGGCACTCCTCACACCCCCTCCCTTCCCTCAGGAACCAGCCAGGGTCCCCGAAGCCCTCCTCCCTCCGCTCAGGGGCAGGGCTGTGACGTGAGGGTGAGACTCGGGCCAGGAGCCCAGGGGGTGCCGAGCAGAGAAAGGAGCTGCCGCCGGGGTTTGGGGGGAGCCTGGACTGGCGCTTCCTTCCCCGACCAGCCCGCGGGAGCTCCCCCTTCCTCGCCTGCAGGTGCAATCAAGGCTGTGTGATCCCACCTAAGCCCACTCCTCGTGGGAACCACAGCACAAGGCAGCAGCCAGAACCACTCAGGCCTACTTTTCACAGCATCTGCTGTCCTGCCCCCCTTCACCCACCGGCGAGTGCAAGTTAGAAGAGGGGCACCCAGAGGCAGAGGCAGGCAGGGCCTGGCTGGGGGCGGCTCGTGGCAGGGCTCCCTGCTGCCATCCCCAGCCCCTGCCCAGTGGTGCCCACGACACGTGCCCAGCTCTCGCTCACGTTAAGACAGTCTTCTTCCCTTGCACCTCCTGGCCCCGCAGAGGGAACTCAAGATGCAGAGGTGCTCAGTGCCCGCTGGCTCATGTGGACAGTTCTTGTGCCCTCACACCGTTCCCAGCAACCCCTCCTCTTAGGAAGCTCGCGCTGTCCCCTCCTGCCGAGGCCTCTCCTTCCTTCCCACCTCCTGTCTGCCACGCGGATTGTGCAGCCTAGCAGCCCGCCCGGCTGGCGGAGGCACTGCCAGGCCGTCCTGGGGACGCCATCACCTTTGGAACACTTTCCCACGGCCTGTGTACAGACAGGGCCTCGTGCCAGAGGCCTCAGGGGGTGGAGCAAGACACTCACAGCCCAACTTTCCAAAACGGAGCCCAGGCCCTGGGCAGTCCCCCGCCTGTGCAGGGCGATGGTCAGTGTCTCCCCATGAGCTCATGGTGCCTGTGGGCCTTCCCTAAGCAAAGGCCTCCCAACACCCTTCAGCCTGGAGGGCAGGGGCCCTTGGGGTCCCTGAGAGAGGTCTCCCAATTGCCCCTCTGTAGTTGGGGGTGATAGCTCCCTCTGGAGGCCACCCTGAAATGACAGGAGTGAAGGACAGCCCTACTGCAACAAATGAATGGGCAACCACCACCAGTACCCACAGATCCCCCAAACTCTGGGAGCGCATGGCCAGGGGACAGCAGATCTACAGCCGGAACAGCAGAGGAGGGTGAGCTTGTCGCTGCTGGGGAGACCAGGGAGGCTCTGCAGGCCGCTGAGCCCAGGGGGAAGAGCCGACGCACAGAAAGGCACAGAAGCAGGAGGGCAAGGAATGGTCCTCAACAGTATCGTTTGGCTGCAGCCTCAAGACCCACCGCAGCCCGCAGTGGCCCCTGAGTGCTGCAGGCCGAGTGCCAAGGGCCCCGTGAGGTGTTTGGTGAGGAAGGAGTGGCACGATGCCCAGGGGCTGCTACTGCTGGGCTGACAGGAAGAGGGAGGCGGTGGCTGGGGAAGGGGCGGGAGGCTCCAGCGCCTGGCTGGACGTGGGGAGCGGGAGCATGAGGATCTTCACAGGACACGGACAGTGGCTCAGGTAAGAGGGGGGCCGCTAGCTTGTGTGCTGTCTGGGCCCTCAGCTGGGCAGCGAGGGGGAGATGGCCCGAGGATGCCCTCCCCAGCGGGCTTGTGTGACACGCAGGAGGAACAGAGGCCACTCCTGGCAGGGACACGCATCCCCGGCCTCTTGGCTCCCTCTGCTGGCAGCGTCAATGCACACACTCCAGGGACCAGAGGGAATTCTTTGAGTGAATGTTTCCCTGTTTGCTCCTGACTCCGGGGCAGCCGGAGCATTTGGTGAGCCATCCCATAAGCAGCTGCCGGAGACCGGCTATGCCCCTGCCCCTCCCTGACATCCGGGTCCTGTCTGGGCTGCCCGGGCTTCTGCTTGTCCGAGCCCAGATCCTGCCTCAGAGCTGCTTCAGAGCGAAATCCAGGCAGGAGGCACAGCCTTCACACCCACATGGACAGCCACCCGCCAGAGCCAGGAGTGAGGCCCCCGACCAGGGAGCTGCTCCCACGCAGCCTGCACACCCCACCACGGGCACACCCCCCCGCGGGCACACCCCCCCACGGGCACACACCTCTCCAGCACCAGGCGGTTCACGGCCTCGCTGTCCACAGGCGGCAGGCTCAGGGTCTCCTGCAGCATCGTGAGCTTTTTCTTCAGGCTCTTGGGGAAGGAAAGAGAAGTGTGAACGAAAGGCTGAGGCGTCAAGTCCAGACAGACTGCCAAGGACAAAAGGGACACGCAGACGGCAGGCCCCCTGGGAGCGGCGCAGGGCCTGCAGCCCCGCCCCAGGCCCAGAGGCCGGGACCCCCGGGCCCAGACGCCTCCCTGGCAAAGCTCCTTCTCTGGTGCCCTCGGGCTGTCGGTGCAAAACAGACTCTGAGGGAAGACCCTGGTGCCGTCCGCCAGGCTCCAGACCAGGGCCGAGGTGTACATCCTGACCCACTGGACGCAGGGGAGTGAGGGAGCCCAGAGCCAGCTCCACCGACTGCGCAGGCTCCGGGCAGAGCTAGCCCAGCTCTGCTCTTAGAGGCACACAAACCACCCCCATTCCCGCCCCGCCAGGGGTGCCCCTCACCGCGATTTCCTTGTCGGCGCCCTGCAAATCCTTCTGGGCCGACCTCAGCTCCAGCTTGGCCTGGTCCAGCTCAGAGTAGACCGCCTGCAACTGCAGGCAAGTGGAGGGGGAATGAGCCAAGGGTGGCCGCGTGCTCTGCCCCACCTGCTGCGGCCAGCCTGCTCAGGGTAGACCGGGGCCCAGGAGTGTGGGGGGCCCCCAGGGAGACCCTAGCTCTATGGGCTGGGCTGCCCCTATGCCCTGCGGCCCGTGGATGCACCAGGCCCAGGAGTAAAGCAGCTGTGCTGACCGAATCGGGTTCCAAGAGCCGTATGCTTGGGGCCTGGTACAGACCTCGAAGGTGGCACATTTGGGACCTGTGCCCTCCCGCCAGCTGAGGGCAGGATCCGGGAGGAGCAGGGGCATCAGGCTGCACGCCAGGAGAGCACCTGCGTGACTCGCCACCCTAACTGGACAAGCCACACAGCCTGAGCCAACGCCCGTGAGGACCAGTGACTGGTCTCTGTGAGCCAGGCGACAGCCCCTGGGTCAGCTGCACCCTCAGGCCTGGGCCTTGCTCAGGAGCCGTGACCGCACGTGAAAGCAGGACGGCCCATCTCCCTCACCCTCTGCTCCCCACAGGTACCTTGCTTCTGGAGGAAAACAAGTCCTTCTTGAGCTTGTCAGCCAGCTCCCCGGAGGCCTTCCGAGCCTCTTTCAGATTCTCATACTCCCTACACAGGGGCCAGAGAAAGAGACCTCAGAACGGGACACCTGCTGGTCGGACTGAGCACCAACCAAACACAAAGCCCAGCCCAACCCTCCCTCCTGCTCTGGCACCTGAGCTCAAGGGGTGGCGCTGTGGAGGGTCCTATCCCAACGCCAGGAGAGCGGCCAGTCCTCCCTCCGGTCCTCACTCAGGAGGCTCCTGCACCATCTGGCCCCCACAGGAGGCATCTGGGGGCCTCTGTGCCTGTCAGCCAAGCGGCCCTTTCCCCACCTCCTCCCCACAGTGCTGGCGAGTCTGAGCAGTTTCTGCTGTGAGCCAGGCAGGGTAGTAACAGTGCTGCTGGGACCCAGGTGGCTGAGACCACGAAGGGGCTCCACTCACAGAGCCGGGCCAACCTCCTTGGAAATAACGCCTATAACCACTCACTTTCCTCAACCCGAGGCCAGGGATTGCTGTCCCCATTCAGTAAGCAGAGGGTCAGAGAGGCTAAGAAACTGGCTCTGGCCACACGGTGAGGTGGGCTCAGAGGGAACGGAGGTGGCCGGCTCCCCCGAACTGGCCCCTAACTCCACCTGCTCTGCCTGGTAAGGGAGGGCAGCAGATGGGCAGGCATGGCTGGGTGCCATGGCGTAGCGCCTGGGCTGGGACAGAGGGACAGGGTACACACTTCTTGAGGGACACGCAGTACACGGCCAGCTGCTCCACCGCTGCCTGGCCCACACCCATGTCTCGGATCATCTCCTCCACCTCAGGCCGCTGGCTCTTGAGTAGGAGCTCAATCCTGAAAAATACCGACCCACGGCATTGAAAATTTGGAGACAGCTCGGCCTCCCTTTGCTGCTGTTGCTATGGTGACAGCCGGGGCTGCTAGGATGCTTTGGCAGGCGGGTCTGCCCAAAGAAAGGCCCACAGCAGAGCTGAGCACAGCCTCAGGGATGCTGCTGGGGAGGAAGGGGTGCTGCCCAAGGTCCTCCAGGCCAGGGATCCCCAGAGAGAGGCTCCTAGAGCAGAAGGCCTGCAGGTCATCTGGCCACAGGCACCAGGACAGGGAGAATGTGGCCAGGGCCCCAGGGGAAGTGGAGGAGCCCATAGAGGCCGAGCAGAGACCTGTGCCCACACCCAGCTGGCCCGAGCCCCCCCATAGCCTCTGGAGGTTAGAGCCACAGCGGTGACCCAACTCCTGGGCAGTCCTGTGAGCTGTGCCCCCCCGGGGCCTGGGGCAAGGCAGGGCCGGCCGCGCACCGCTCCATGGTCTGCATCTTGCTCCTGAGCCGGCGGGCCTCCTCCCGGGCTTGTTTGGTCTCATCCTGCTGCTGCTCCAAGAACTTCATCTGCTTCTGAGGAGCAAACACACCCCAACATACCTGTCACCTGGAGGATCCAGGGACCATGGCTAACGTCACTGAGGAAACTCTACCCCAGAACTTTCGGCTTTTGAAAATACTGAAAACCACGTGTCCCCTAAACCCCTGGCCGGGAGGTAAGGCTGCTGGGCGCACGTGGGCTTGTGCTTTTCTGCTAAGAGGCCCTCGGCCAGCAGCTTCCTTACCTCCCAACGCGCTTCCTCCTGAGCTATGTCTCTTATAGGTACAGCCCTGGCCAGCACCCACAGGCCTATTGTGGCTGCCAAACTCCTGTGCTGGGCCTTATGGTGCGTGTTGTGCAGTCCAGGCCTTGCTGTCCACCATCTAGACCAGTGGTTCTCAACCTTCTGGCCCTTTAAATACAGTTCCTCATGTGGTGACCCCCAACCATAAAATTATTTTCGTTGCTACTTCATAACTATAATGTTGCGACTGTTATGAATCATAATGTAAATATCTGATATGCAGGATGGTCTTAGGCGACCCCTGTGAAAGGGTCGTTCAACTGCCAAAGGGGTCGCGACCCACAGGTTGAGAACCGCTGATCTAGACCCATGAACAGCAGCCAGGACAGCAGCGCGGAGCCAGGGGCGGCTGGCCAGCTGCCCTCAGCCCGAGACCCTCCACCTCTGGGAATGCCATCCAACACCTGCTCTGCAGCCAGGAGCTGCTCTGCTGCTTCCCTTCCCCTGGCCAGGCCACGTGACCCAGACCAGCCACCAGCAGGAACAGAGACAATGACCACCCCGGGGCTCTGTTCACAAGGACGCCTCCCTCCCCCTCCAATGGCACCCCACAAGGACTGCTCCTTGCTGCAAGGCCAGAATGTCAGCTGCGGGTTCAGATCAATCGCCTCCTGCCCCTGGGAGAGCAAGAGGCTCGCCAACCGGCTGATACAAAATTCATCGGGTCTAGAGCGCCGGCTCCGCAGGCTCTGATCTGCCCGGCCAGCGCGGCACAGCAGCTTCAAAGGCCTGGCGCCTTGCTGGGTGCCGTTTGATCTGGCTCCGGAGCGCAGCCCGCCGAGGGCTAGAGTGCGCATGGACGTGTCAGCGGCTCCGTCAGTGGAGTACACGCCACTCTGGGAACATGGCCCCGCCTCACCAAGGTCCTGGCTCAGCAGCCCCTCCATGAAGTGCCGGGAAGGCCTCAGCTCTTCAGACTCCCGAGCACAACACTCATAAGTGTGGCCAATATGGCCCTTTTCCTGCGGCGGGTGGTACAGTATGGAGGCCTGGGGAAGCGGGGGTCGCCTCCATCTCACACCTGCACACACCCAGCTGCTGACCAAGGCAGAACCGGAAGTTAAGCCTCGAGCGGTGAGCCTGGGCTGGGGCTCCATCCCTCCCTGCCCCCCGCAATGGTGCCCACGGGACCCGGGGCCCACCTTGAGGGTGGAGCACAGCATGTCGGCCTCGTCCAGGGCCCGCTGCAGAGACTCCACGGTGGCGTTGCGCTCCTCCAGCGTGTCCCGCAGGGTGTCGATGATGCCCTGGCTGTCCCGCTTCTCCCTCTCTGGAGCAGGGGAGGAGGACAGCCACCTATCAGCGTGAGAACCTGGGCTTCTGGGCGCCAGCACCCCACCCCAGAGGCAGGTGAGGAACAAGTCCCAGGCCGGAGGCGGGGTGGCCGCGTTAGGAAAGCCGGCTGGAGTCCTCGAGCAGAGACGTCACCGCTCCCTCGCCCGTGCGTCCAGTCACTTCATCGTCCCAGAAGCCATGCAGGCTCCTGCCAAGCTCCTGGCCGAAACCTCTCCTACAGACACTCTGGTGCCTCAGGTGGCCCCTCCCGGCTGAGGCTACCTGGTCCAGGGGCAGTTTCAGTCCCTCCCTCTCCTCTCCTTTCCTGCCAGACTCATGGACACACAAGCAGGGAGAACCCCTGGCCTCTCCCACCAGCACACAAGTCAGAGGCTTCCCATGGCCCGGTGCCACTTGCTGACTCACCTTTCTGGGAAAGCTGGGCTCTGACATTATCCAGTTCATTCTGCAAGGCAACAGGCACAGTAAGCAGCAGCCAGGCATCACAGCTGCCTCCCATCAGGCTTGGGTCCCCGGGAGCCTGGCTCTAGCTCCGTGCCTTTTTAAGCAGCAGTAAGATGGGGAAATATCTCAGGTACAGGACCCCAGTGCAGGGAAAGGAGAAGAGGAGTGAAGCAGGGTCTGTGTGGTCAGCCCTACAGCAGAGGCTCCCTTGCTTCCTTGGCCCTGTGCTGGCCCTGACCCTCTCTGGGCGTCAGCTGCACTCACTGGGAACAAAGCTGGCATTGCCAAGGACCTTGGCCACCACTCCTTCCCTCCACCCTGGGGTCCTGCCTGCTTCACAGCTGGCTCTGTGCACCACAATCTTCCAGCCCCAGGATCAATATGGTTGGTGAGCCAGGACAGCTGTGAGCCCCTGGATGGAAACCCACACGTGCGAGGTTCTAACAAGACTGTCCGAGCCTCTCGGAGCCTGTGTGTACATGCCAGAGCCCCTGCTGCAGACCCGCTGAGAGGCCGGGGCAGCACTGCGCCCAGCTCCCACTCAGGAGGCCAGAGCATCCAACACCCTTGTGGGCAAGAGAGGTGCCTACTCCATAAGCAGGAACACCAACAGGCTTGGCCAAGGGTCCATGGTGGTAGGTGGATGGAATCCCGGCAAATCCTCCTCCAGATCAACACAAGACTCAGACTCTCACCCGGGACCAATACTAAGGCCCAGCCCCAGTCGGTGGATAAGCCCCATGTGGGCTGGACTGGGCTGGGCAGTGTAGGCTGAACACCTGGAGCGGGGAGTGGTGGGTTGAGAAGGATGTGCCTGGGCTGCCTGAGAAGAAAAGCCACCTCTAGTCCCCTGGCTCCTGCCACACCAGAGCAGGATGCCTTCCAAGCCCTTGTTCCCAGCTACTCAAGATGCTGCCTCCTGCCTCCTAGTTCTGGCTTTGAAAGCCGGAGAGACACGAAGCTGCCTTTGTTGCCTGCATCACGGGGAGAACACAGCTTAAAACTGGGAGCAGTTACCATGACGATGAACATGCTGGCTTTCAGCACAAAAGCTCCCCGTTCTTGAATCCGTGAGGTTCCAAGGACACCATGGTACCCTGGAGCCAAGGCCAAATGAGCCCTGATCTGACAGATGCCCAGAAAATGAACACTCAGAGTCCACGTTCATGGCGAACTCTAATCCCACTTCCTCAAGAGGCTTCTTATGCACAAACAAAGCTGGATCTTAGACCTGGAGGAAAAGCAGTAGGAGTGCAGGAGGGAACCCGCCCTCCCTCGTCTGCAGTGTGGGTTTCTGCCTCGGCTGCAAATCCGGATTCCAGGGCTCTGCCCCCTATTCCTGCCCGGGGAAGACACGGGCACCCGGAATACGCTGAGCTCCCGGCAGGTTTGGGCACAGCCAGGTTTGTGAGCAAAGGGCCCACACATCTCCCTGGCTGCGGGCTAGGAGTTTCCTCTTCTGCCCCTGGCTGTCCACGCAGCAAAGTGGGCTGGGAGGATGGTTGTAGGCCCTTTGCAAGGCGAGGGGACCTTGGGAGGGGCGCCCCGACCCTGGGTCGGAATTGCTCTGAAACCCCAAAGGGAGAGCTCAACAGTGTGTTTCTCCAATGACTCATCTTCACCTGTCCTCTGTCTCCCCTCCACGCGCTAAGTACTCGCCCTGGTGGGAGCAGAAAGAACTCCCAGAGAGCGTGGGGCGCAGTAGGAAGAGATAAGTTCCGGGTACCTTTAAGAATTCTGCATCTAAGACCCCCTCCTCCTCCTGGGCCAGGTCAAAGAAGAGCTTATTGATGATGGATCTTCGGCCAACCTGGAGGGGAGAGCAAGGAAGAATGTGATTGCACCGCTGGGTCCTGGGCCAGGCCTGCTCTCGGGCCCAACATTTCACACCGCGTCCCTTGGAGTCAGAAGACTCTCAACCCTGTAGCGCCCCGAGCTGGTGCCACGGGCTTGGTGGTTCCTGAGGTCATGTCTCTGGGACCCATATGGTAACTACTCAAAAGTCACCCCAACTCTAGGTACTGGGCATTGAGAAACTCGGGAAAGGCAGAGAAGGGGCCCAAATCTACCCAGTGAAGACTGACCCAGGCAGGGAGTGCATCTGCCAGCTACCCGTGGGCATAAGCAGGCCTCCCGAGCCACAAATCATGAGGGTCCAAAAGGATCAAAGATACCAGCCTCAGAGACCGCCCCTCATTCCTGCTTCCTGGCCAGGAGAAGAGGCCTTAAGCTGAGGGATTCTCCCCTCCCGCCTCACCTGGATTCGGCACTGAGGGCAGGTGCGACTTGGTGCTGTATCGAACCACTGGATTAGGCTGGAATGAGAAGCAGAAAAACAGACTGGCGAGCCATGGCTTGGCTGGAGACATACAGGCCAGGTAGCCACCCTGTCCACAAAAGGGTCTGTCCTGCTCCTCCTTGACCCGGTAGAGAATTGCCCTGGCCAGGTGGCTCAGGTGGTGGGAGCATACACCAAAAAAGGCTGCGGGTTCAATTCCCAGGCAGGGTGTGTATGGGAGGCAACTGATCAATATTTCTCTCTTGCATTGATGTTTCTCCCTCCCTCCCACCCTCCCTTCCTCCCTCCATAGAGGCAATACATGCAGAGACGATCACTTTAATTTCCCAAAACTAATGAAAAAAATCATTCCACAGCCCTGACCGGTTTGGCTCAGTGGACAGAGAGTCGGCCTGCGGACAGAAGGGTCCCGGGTTCGATTCCGGTCAAGGGCATGTACCTTGGTTGCCGGCACATCCCCAGTTGGGGGCGTGCGGGAGGCAGCTGGTCGATGTTTCTCTCTCATCAATGTTTCTAACTCTCTATCCCTCTCCCTTCCTCTCTGTAAAAAATCAATAAAAAATGTATTTTAAAAAAAATCATTCCACAAATGGAAGAAATGTAATGAATCCCAACCAGGATAAGTAAAAAATTATAACAACAAGAGAGCCGAGGTGGCTACCTAATTGTCAGACAAAATAGACTTTAAAAAAATTAAAAAAGGTTACAAGAGACAAAGAAGGACTTTATATATTGATAACAGGTTCAATCCAAGAAGAAATAACAATTATAAACACGTATGCACCTAAACACAGAGCCCAAAAATATGTGAAAGAAACTTGGAGAGAATTGAAGGGAGAAATCTTTCTGAAACAAAAATTAAAGATGTCAGTACCCCACACTTTCAATAATGGATAGAACAATCAGACAGATGATCAACAAAGAAAGAGAGAACTTGAACAATAAAATAAACTAACCAGATCTAACAGGCATATCCTCCACCCAGTAATAGCCGAATGCACATTTTTCTCAAGTGTGCACGGAACCCTCCAGGATAGACCATATGTTGGGCCACAAAACAAGTCTTAATAAGTTTTAAAATATCTAAATCACAGAAAGCATTTTTCTTTACCACGATGCAATGAAACTTAAAAATCAGTAACAGAAAGAAATAGAAAATTCAGTTATGAGTAAATGAAACAACACATTCTTAAACAACCAATGGGCAAAGATGTAATTACAAGGGAAATTAGAAAATCCTTTAAAATAAATGAAAACATACCAAAACTTATGAAATACAGCAAAAGCAGTGCTAAGAGGGAAACTGGTAGTTGTAAACACACATTAAAAAAAGAAGACACCCGTTAGGATGGCTATTATAAAAGCAAAACCAGCCCTGACCGGTTTGGCTCAGTGGATGGAGCGTCGGCCTGCGGACTGAAGGGTCCCAGGTTCGATTCCGGTCAAGAGCATGTACCTGGGTTGCAGGCACATCCCCAGTGGGAGGTGTGCAGGAAGCAGCTGATCGATCTTTCTCTCTCATCCATGTTTCTAACTCTCTATCCCTCTCCCTTCCTCTCTGTAAAAAATCAATAAAATATTTTTTTTAAAAAAAAAGCAAAACCAAACCAGAAAATAACCAGTATTGGCAAGGACGTGGAGAAATCGGAACCCTTGTGCAGTCACTGTGGAAAACAGTAAGGCAATTTCTCAAAAAATTAAATATAGAATTACCATATAACCCAGCAATTCCACCTCTGGGCAGACCAAAAAGAAATGAAAGCAGGGACTCGAGCAGATACTTGTTTACCAACATTTATAGTCGCACAGCTCATAGCAGCCAAAACACAGAAACAAACCAAGGTCCATTAACAGATGAAGGATTAACAAAATGTGGTATTTCCATACAACTGAATATTATCTATATATATAAAAGCCCAGCAACTGGAAAGGCGGAATGACCGGAACAACCAGTGGCTATGATGCACACTGCGGCAGCCAACTAGCCTGATCCGGGCCCCAATTGGCCCCCAACACCCCGATCGGGGGTGGTGCCGACTGGCCAACCGCCCGCAGCCCCTTCCCCCCACACCCCCCCCCCCGGCCCGGCCCAATGGGGCCCCATTGGGGCGGGCCAGCCGGACCCCACTTGTGCACGAATTCGTGCACCGGGCCTCTAGTTCAGTCATAAAAAGGAGTGAAATTCTGATACATGCTATAATATGGATGAACCTTGAAAACATGATGCTTAATGCAATAATCCAGACTCGGAAGAACAAACATTGTATGATTCTACTTATATGAGGCACCTAGACGAGGGAAACTCCAGGAGACAGAGGTAAAATGGAGCTTTCCAGGGGGGTTGGGGAGGGGGACGGAGTTATTGTTTAATGGGTGGTGGGTTGTTGTTTTTTGCCTGGAATGATGGAAAAGCTCTAGAAATAGGCAGTGGCGATGGTTACACCAAATTATTAATGTACCTCATGCCACTGACTTGTACACTTAAAAATGGTTAAAACGAACGGTGTCTTTCAGCTCACCAAGTGAACACCATGGGCAAGGCTCACCCTCCCAAGCTGGAAAAACGATGGACAAAAGGTATTGAAATTAGGTGGTGGCAGACATGCCCAAGGAATCCTGCCGGAATCTGATCCCTTTAGGAACTTGGTGGCAGATCATGTATGGATAGATAATGGCAACTACCAGGCGACAGAACAAGATTAAAATGGAGGAAACACTACCCTTTCAGAAGCCTTAGAAAGAGCAGAAACCATGGCTGTGTTCACCAGAGAAATCAATTGCTTCCTCATGTCCCCTCTGCAAAGGACCTAGTTTAAAATCGGGTCATGTACTTTTCCATACTGAATTTTTGTTGTTGTTAAATAAACTGTGTAACAGTCCAAAAATGGCTAAATGGTAAATTTTATGTTATATACTTTTATTACAATAAAAAGGTATGTAGTAATAAAAATTTAAAAAAGAAAAGAAATGGTTGCGCTGGTGAATTCTGCTCTGTATTTCACCACAAGAAATATGGCGCGGCCCCACGGGCGCAGGGCGGTCCCACGGGCACAGGGCGGCCCCACGGGCACAGGGCGGTCCCACGGGCACAGGGCGGCCCCACGGGCACAGGGCGGTCCCACGGGCACAGGGCGGCCCCACGGGCGCAGGGCGAGCAGCACCACCGCTCATCGGGCCGCACCTCCTCGCCCTGCGACGTTAACTGGGTCCTGCCGGTCGGTGAACACACGGGGTGTCTGACCAGAGAGCGGCCTCTGCACACACTCCACCCGCCAAGCAAACCACACAGACCGGCGGCCAGAGGCCCACGAGGCGTCAGTCCCCAGGAGGCCGAAGGGCTCGCCAACGTGGCGAACGCTCACCTCCGCCCGGGCTGAGGGTTTTGAAGTCGCCTCGCTTCGCCCGCCGAGCCCGTCGTGCAAGCCCCTGCTCTGTCTTCCCTGAACGGACTCTGTGCCCCCGTGCCCAGCTCGGCTGTCACCTCCTGCGGACAGAGCCTGCCCTGACCCGTCTCCGCCCAGGTCGGGACCTCCCGTGGGGCGCCGTGAGTGCCCCCTCCGCGCCCGTCCGGGCGGCGGGGCCCCGACACCCACTCTCCTGTCGGGAGGAGGACGGCAGAAAGCGTCCAGCCCCACAGCCGTCACTCACCACTGCAGGTGGAAGGTGTGGCCGCAGTGGATGGCGGCCACGTCGCGCGAGTGGTCGAAGAAGTCGGAGCAGATGGTGCAGAGCGCGCGGATGGGCATGGTCACCAGACTCCAGGGCCCGGGTCGCCAAGGAAACCGCGCCGGGCCTCGGCCGCGCCCCCGGGTCTCAGCTCCCTTCAAATTTGCCTCCACGGCGCGACTTCCGGGGTAAGACCGGAAGTGGTTACGCGAAACGTGGAGGCCGAGCCTAAAGGCTGAGTCCGGATTGGACGAACCCTGGGGGGGCGGGGTTTAGCGACCCAGCGGGCGAATAGAATCCCGGGGCGGAGCGCGGGCCGGAACCTGCTCCCGGGAAGGTAATTGTACCTCAGAGCGCAGCGCGGGACCGGGAGCGGGAGCGGGAGCAGCTTTCGGGCAAATCAGAGCTGCTGCGCGGTGCGCCGGGCGCGGGCTCCTCGGCCTGGTCTGTCATGGCAGCCTCCCCTGAACCTCGGGAGAGTCAGGACCGCGGCGATGGGACGACGGTCCCGGTGGAGAGCGGGCCCCCCGCGCTCCGGGCAGTGATGGCCCGCGCGCTGGAAGCCCACAGTTCCCACAGACCCAAAGGACGCCCCGCCCTCCCGGCCCTCGGCCGTAGAGTCGTCCTAGAAAGATGGACACGGGGCCTCACCCCGCATGACGGACGGTCCCCAGGTTTGCGGGCGCAGGGCCAGCACCCTGACGGCTGCTCCTCGCGCCCGGAGGATCGGTTATGCCCCTGACCTGTCGGTAGTCGCGTTGGAATTTTGGAGGCCCGGATGCTCCATGGACCAGTGACTCACACACCCCATTTTCTTCCTCCCACATCACGTCAGTTACCTTTGGGTCTTCCCTGCGGGTCAGCGGCCTCCCTGGTGAACCCCCCTGGGCGGCAGGGGATGGAACAGGTCTTCCCAGGAGTTGTCACTCAACTGATTTCAGCAGCGTTACCCCCCCACCCCGCCCCTGCCCCATGCGGAGCCTCAGGATGCACAGCTGGCTCGTCCACCTGAAGGAGACCGCCTGAAGGAGATTCGGAACCCTCTGGGCCAGTCGTTGCTCCCAGGAAGAAGGACCTGCACGAAGGGCAGCTAGAACCCTTGTGCGCTGCCCACCCTGGGACCTCTCCTCAGCCCAGGGAAGCCCACCTTGGCTACAGGCAGGGTCTCTGTCCATGGTGGTCGGCTTTTGGTGGGTTCCAGTTCTATGCCCAAGTTAAAACAAGGACTCCTTTGTGGGGGTATTTTTTGTTGTTGTTTTTTTAATCCTCACCTGAGGATATTTTTCCCATTGATTTTTAGAGAGAGTGGAAGAGAGAAGGAAAAACATAGAGAAACATCCATGTGGGAGAAACACGTCGATTGGTTGCCTCCTGCATGTGCCCTGACCAAGGCCCAGGTTGGGGAGGAGCCTGCAACCAAGGTACATGCCCTTGACCCGAATCAAACCCGGACCCTTCGGTCCGCAGGCTGATGCTCCATCCACTGAGCCACACCAACAAGGGCAAACCAGAGACTCCTTGTCACATAGGACGTGTCGTGACAGCAGCCCAGAAGGTATTCCTTGGCACAAGTCCAACCCAGGACCCACCATCCACGTGGGTTACAGTCCAAAGGAACCCGTCACCGCCATCAAGGGACACACCGGTGAGGGTGATGCACTCTCGGCCAAGCAAGCCCCGTGGCCCCCAGCACAGGCTGCTACCTGTGCGCCTGCTTCCAGCCTCTCCCCTCCCCCCTGCCTGCCGGGGCCCCTCCCCAGTAAGACAGAGGAAGCAGAGGTGAGAGGGTGGCCAGAGGCGTTGGCAGGGTGACATTTATTTGCCAGGTTCAGCAGGCACAGTTCGCCCACTGATCTTCATACACCAGAGCAGACCCACAGGCATGCAGGGAGAAGGGCAGGGCCGCCACCAGAGTGCCGAGCGGGCCGGGACCAGTGCGGCTGCCTGCCCAGGCCGTGGTGGGGTCTGACAAGTGCACCTACCAGGAGCCTCCATCAGGAAACTGGGGAGCCTCGTCCCACCTCCTCATCTCAGCAAAGGAGCTCAGCACGGCTCAGAGGCACCTGGGCCTCTCTCGGCCCCCATAGGAGGGGGAGCGGGTCAGACATCACGGGGACGCCTCTCTTTTTCGGGGTTGAAGTGGGACACTGCCATGCAGCAGGCCCCGGGATGGAGAGGACCGTCAACTGATCCAGAGGGTGGCCGTCTGGGAAGAGCCAGGGATATCAGCCCTTCCCGTCTGGCTCGTGGCAAGGACCCAGCTAGGCTGGTGCACTAGTGCTGGGCCTGCGCTCTGTCCTCCCGGTTCTCATCGCCACCTCCTAGCTGCTCCTTCCCCACTCAGGCTCCTGGACTCGGCACACGGCAACCCACTGCAGGACCCAGGAGGCAGGGAGGGTCTCGGGAGAGGCTTCCCAGGGACAAAGATGGAAGCTTCTACCCTCCTTTTCACTTCTGAGGACCCCACAGCTACCGAGCAGTGCCCCCAGCCACACGCCCAGTCTTGTCCTAAAGCATACTGCTCCAGATTTCTGCATTCCCTGGACCAGCCTGTGTCCACTCCTAGAGTCGCCCAGTACCACAGGCACATACCTCCGTGTGTAGAAGCCTAAGACCGCTGACAGGGCCTCGCTGGAGGACCAGCTCTCAGGGCAAGGCCACCCAAGTTTAGGGCCTGGGAGGGAATGGGACTGCAGGGCCTGCCTGGGGGGGTTTGAGGCAGAAGGGAAGAGGCGCAGGGGCCTCCTGAGGATCCCTAGAGCAGCATCCCACAGGAACAGAACTGGTGAAGCTAGCGAAAGACAAAAGCCACAGGAATCCATGCAGGGGCTGGGGCCGGTCCTGCCTCTGGCTTGCCCCCCACTCACACATACACACGGGAGACGAGACTGCTCCCCCGTGGCCCCCAGACGTGCCCCACAGTGAGAGGCAGGGGCTGGGGAGGGGTGCGAGGGCATCATGCCAGTGACTCTATGTACAGTGAAAAGCCCCTCATCCACTCTCCCACCCTCCTGCCCGTCCCTGCCCCCCACTAGCCTGCCCACTCAGCTGGTCTCCTCCCTGCGGGACTCGGCAGAGCCAGCAGCCTCTTCCCCTTCGCTAGAGGCCGGAGCCTGGCCTGCTGCGCCCCCTGAGGCTGTGCTGTCCGGCTGGGCCGAAGCTGGCTCGGGGGTGGCACTGCTTTGGCTGGTGGGCACAGTGCTCTCTTCCGTGGCTGGCGTGGCTCTCCCATCCGTGGCTGGCGTGGCGCTCCTGTCAGTGGCTGGGGTGACGCTCCCGTCAGTGGCTGGGGTGATGCTCCCATCGGTCGCTGGGGTGACGCTTCCATCGGTGGCTGGGGTGATGCTCCCATCGGTGGCTGGGGTGGCACTGCGGTCTGCAGGGACTGCACTATCACTCTTTGCAGCGTCACCTGCTGTGGCTGAGGTGGCACTGCCCCCAAGGGCCAGGGCAGCCCCACCTGCAGCCCCAGGTGCGGCAGTGTCTGTGGCTGGAGCCGACGGGGCGGCTGCGGCGCTGGACTGCTCTGGCGCCCGCAGCCTCTTCATGAGCGTGGTCACTCGGACAGCTTTCTGCAAGGAGGAGAGAGAGAGGCTCAGGGCGGCTTACGGGAGCTGAGTCCACTCCCTGGCGAAGGCCAAGCCCAGGCCACCCCCCAGGGTACCCTGGCTGCCTCTGATCACCCCAGGGCTAGGCACCCAGCCACTCGGCTACGCGTGGGTGGCGAAAAGCCTGCGAGTGAGACAGGCAAGAAGCTATAGGCTCCAGAGGAGCACCTGGAGTCAGTCCACGGAAGGGCCACCCAGGCCTTACCTTCCACTTGGCCCTGGCGAAGTTCTTCTCAATCTGGGCACAGACACCATCCTTGATGTTCTTATCGGAAGCGGCGTTGCCAGAAATCCTGGAAAGGGAGCGAATGCGTCTGAAGTGTGGCCTTCACTCTGCCCAGCCTTGTAAGACCCAGGGGTCACCAGGCGGGCCTTCTGGGTCTCGGGGATGGGGGCTGCTGGGTGAGAGGAGGACAGAGGCCCGGCCTCTCCCTTCCTCCCTGGGCCCCGCTCACCACTCGTGAGAGATGGCCTCTTCGGCGGTGATGCGCTGGTCCTGCTCCACCTCCATCAGCCTCGTGACCAGGTCTTTGGCTGCGGACAAAGCCAGGGAGAGGCTAGGCATGGCGCCCGTCCCTACCTCGAGGTGATGGGTGGGCCGGGGCGGGAGCAGAGCCCAGAGAGGAGGCCGAGAGCAGGTCCCCCGCACCAAGCCTTCCTTCTGCCCAGATGCCGGGCGCCTCCTCACCCGCCTGCGAGATGTCGTCCCAGTACGGAGAGTCAAACTCATAGTCGCCAGCCAGGATCTTGCGGAAGAGATTCTTGTCGTGGTTCTCGTAGTCGTCCTCCTCCACCTCCTCGTAGAAAGGCGGGTTCCCCGAAAGCCTGCGGGGGCCGGAGGCCCAGGTCAGCCAGGAAGGCCATAGCACAGCCCCCCCCCTCCCCCGGCTGTACGCCCCTCCGTTTGCCCGTCCACTCACAGGATGTACATGATGACTCCAATGGCCCAGCAGTCCACGGGGCGTCCATACCGCTGCCGGCCTACCACCTCCGGGGCTGCCAACACAGTTCCGACCGGCTGGTCAGGATCAGGCCTGCCAGGCCCGGTACCGTTCACACCCCTTCCTGGGGACCTCCTCCCTCCCGACCCAGAGCCACTCCTGGAAGGCTGTCCCCCCCCCCCCCCGCCCTGCCCCCTCTGCTTGCCCAGGTACTCGGGGGTCCCGCAGGGCTCCTTGATGAGGCCGTTCTCCAGCTTGGCCAGGTGGAAGTCGCTGATGACAATCTTGGAGTTCTTCAGCCTGTTGTAATACACCAGGTTCTCCAGCTGCTCCGGCCAGGAATAGCATGGGGGTGGCAGAGACAGACTCGTGAGGAGCGGGCCTCAGAGGCTGGCCCGGGGTCCCAGGCCAGCTGCCCACCGACCCTTCGACCAGGCTCCTGCCTCACCTTGAGGTTCCTGTGCACGATCTTGAGCGAGTGCAGGTAGGCCACGGCCTCCAGGACCTGCCGCACCACGTTGCTCGTGTCTCGTTCCGAGTAGTAGCCCTGGTCCAGGATCCAGTCAAACACCTCCCTCCCCGTGGCCCTGAGGGACACCAGCCCCTGAGCCCGGCGTGGGCAGGACGGGGGGTGGGGCAGGAGCACTTGGGCAGGCTACCTACACCGGGTAGCTGGCTGGGCAAGGCACAGAGACCGGGACCCAAGGGTCCGAGAAGGGGCGCTCCCTGGCGGCGGAGCGTGGGAGAACCCTGGGACCCCGGGCCCACACTCACAGCTCCAGGAAGATGAAGTACTCCTTGCGGGTCACAAACACATCCACCAGCTGCAAGATGTTGGGGTGTTTCACCCTGGCAGCGAGAGGAGAACCAATCGTCAGGGCTGAGTGAGCCCCGAAGAGAGGCTCGGGGTGCCACTGTGGCCGCAGCAGACTAACTGGCCAGAGGCCCGCACTGCTTGAGGCCCCTGCCCGCCAGCCCCTGCCCTGCTCCCTCCCACCCCAGGCCTCACTTACATCTTGAGGATGCCGATCTCGTTCTTGGCCGCCTTCCGCACCTTGCGGCCGTCCCGCTTCTGGAACTTCTTGCAGGTGTGCAGCTTGCCCGTGGTCTTGTCCTTGGCCCGGAAGATCTCGCAGAACTCCTCCCTGCAGCAGTGGCCACCCCACTCAGCCCCGGGCTCGGTGCAGGCTGCACCCCGCTCCCCTCCCCCCGACCCTTGCCCGCCAGCACGGCACTCACGTTTTGATGACCTGTCCCAAATCATATCTGTCCGTCACCTCCGACGGCTGGTTATAGTTCTTCTTGTCCCCCAGAGTCACACACCCAAACGGCATTGCCAGGCTCTGAGCTGCGGGCAGGATGGGGTCTGGCTCAGCCGTGCCGCTCGCTCCCCACTTCTCCCCGCAACACCCAGGCCGCCTCTGGGAGGCCCAGCTGGCTCAGGCCACGCCAGAGGCAGAGGCCAAGGCAGGAAGGGCTGGAGGGTGGTCTGCCCAGCCCTCAGCCACTCAGCTTGGCTACCTGAACGGCCATCGCCCGCTCATGAAAAGTGTACCAAACGGACATATCAGGGAGTCACTGTGTAATGTGCACACTGAAAAGATGGGTCAAATGATTTCTTTAGCCCTGGCCAGTGTGGCTCAATGGGTAGAGCGTCAGCCTGCAGACTGAAGGGTCCCAGGTTCGCTTCTGGTCAAGGGCACGTACCTTGGTTGCAGGGCCCAGGCCCTGGTCGGGGTTTGTGCAGGAGGCAACCAATCGATGTGTCTCTCTCACATCGAAGTTTCTGTCTCTCCCTCGCCCTTCCACTCTCTCTAAAAATCAATGGAAAAATACCCTCGGCTGAGGATTAACAACAACAACAAAAAGTGGTTTCTTCACATTTCAGCTGTTTTACAGATGACAAGGGCTGGCACTACCCACTCGTCAGATAGTCATCTCTGAAAGTCTGAAGATGCCAGGTGTTGGCAAAGATGAGGAGAACATGGGCATCGCTGGCGGAGGGCAAGCCTCCCTTTGGGAACCAGTTGCTAAAACGATAGAAGTCAAATATATCCCATGAACCCACAATTGCACTGCTGAAATACACGTACTTGTGCGTCACGGATACTCATAGACGGATGCTCACAGTTGCAATATTCATAATTGCCCAAAACGAGGGACAACCGAATATCCATCAACATTGTTATATTGTGTATTTATTGTGACATAATCACACAATGTAATACTACACAACAATGGGAATGATGTAGGTATAGCTATACCCAACCACAAGGTGAAACTCACAAACACATTGTTGAGTGAAAAAGACAAGTGAATATAAATACATATACACACATGTATATAGTGTGTGTGTGACTATATAATCTATAATCAATGTTATCAATTACAGAATCAATATAACATTCAAAACAGGCAGAACTAACTTGTGCTGTTTAAGGATATAAACACACTGGCAGAACTACAATGAAAAGCTAGGAAATGAACACCTTGAGTCCTTCTAAGACAGTGGTTCTCAACCTTGGCTGCACATTAGAATCACCTGGGAATCTTTTTAAAATCCTGATTTCTGGGCCTCATCCTCCGGAAATTCTGTTTCCTTGTTATGAGAGGCGAGTAGAGCTTGAAATAAAAATCTATAACTCTTTTGGTTTTATAATATTTATATATTGTTTTGTTAATTAATTTCTTTCACGCACGATGGCGTATCTTTCCGCCCCCCGCCCGCGCGACACGACTAGAGCCTCATTCGCGGATGCGATACCTGAGTTGTGCCAGATAGTAAGACACAGGACGTTGAGCGTCTGTCGGGGAGATGACTTTAACATTCTGACAATTCGACCGGCCAGACAGCAGATACGGGGGGAAGCTGGGGTGTCGTTACAGTATCTTGTTTGATTGAGCTGTTTCGTATGATGTTTAGCCTTCCCTACGACTAGAGGGGA